GCTGATATGATACAACACCATGTTACTTTATTGTAAGATCAACTCTGTTTTTAAAAACAATGTGTATTTCCTTCCTTTTACATCTATTCTAAATTCTGTTGGTTTACCACATGAATAGGTAATAAAAGCTACTGTTTGCATCTGTTAGTGATACATTTACAATTTAATATGTAACAGTTTAAGAAACAATCACTTAAAAATTTTCATTTGGTTGGAGTATGAAGCCTCCAATGACCTTTATAATGTGGCTTTATCACCAGTATAGAACTGTTAAATGGGTATAGTTCTGTACCGGTTTGCTAACCTGTTAACAACATAGTTCCAATGCTGGCTGACTCTGGTTGCAGATCCTTCACCAACACTTCAGAGCTGTCACCCTCATGATAACCTGATATCACATGAACCACACTGCCAGATCACATACCCAGATCACTGACGTTGGGCGTTACTTGGCACATCTGTATAAATCAAAGCACCTACACACGCAGAATACTTTGCAAACATTTCTGAAAGAATGGGCCTCTCTGATAATGATGTGTAATCTCATTGGAATGAGTTTCAGGACCGAATTAAAGATGCTTGGAAGCTAAAACAACAATCGTCATCCTGTGTTCAGTGAATGCTTTGCACTTTTAACAAAAATGGCTTCCGACCTTTAGCCCTCTTTCAAACCATCTGTTCTCTCTTTCCAAAACTGAACATTTTGGTCATCAGAGGTGTGTTTTTGAGGTGTGAGTGGACAGGTCAATCTAGCCTAGAGCTGCTGGTTCTCCTGAGCTGCGGCATATGTTTGTGTAGTTGTTGTTTGGTTTCCATAATGTCTCGGTATGAGCGGTACTCACTGTACTGGGCTGCACAAAAGATGCTTTGTGTGGTTGTTAATTTAAAAAGCCAAGTCCAAAGAGTTTTTTTTTTTTTTTTTTTAAAGGCAGCTTTATCAAAGTACAGTACTAGTTCATTAAGTTTACTGGTTTAAATCAGACCAGCACTGGATTCCATAACAGTGGAGATGTGTTGCCCAGCAGGAAAAAAAAATCTGGAAACTCAGTAAACAAGTCTGGGTTTGGATTTATCCAGAAGAATGCCACTTCTTTATTATATATGTGCTAAGGCAGGCTTGCAGCGACACAGTCTATGTGATTAGAACACTTTCTTCTAACACAACATATCATCATGCACTTGTTTGTGTTTGGCAAAACCAGCTCTGTTTTGTATCCTTTGACCTTGACACTCAAACCCTCTTGGACTTAAGTCAGACTTGCTGCTAATCCTGACAAATCTCATCAAAGCCAGTCATACTCTCTTGAATTATGGGAGCAACTCAAGAGGATGGAGGAAGAACAGAGATGTAGGACAATCTGAGATAGAAAAGCTTCTTTTTGGCCATGATTAGACAGCTAATCCAATAGTGACGAGATGCAGGCTGAGGGAGAACAAAAGAAGAGGATTGGGTTGAGAGCACGGCATAAGTCCGCGTTTTTTGGACACTGGTTGGATTGAGGCTGAACTAACCATTCACAGGACTGTGGCTGAAGAGTGCTCAAGATGATGAGCTCCTTTCGAGCTGCAATCAACATGCAGCACTGTTTTGTGGGCCGATGAGTGTGCAGCATCAAACAGCTTTTCTCTTCTCTCAGCTTCTTTTCTCCTCATTTTTATCCCAGCACCCCCCTCTCGTGCAACACACACACACACCCACCCCCTTCTGCCATCTCATTCTTCTTGCATTCAGAGGATGCCTAGCAGCTGCTGGTAATTAAAGGACTTTAGGAGGCTCAAACCACACTGGATTAAAATAGAACGGCGGAGAAAACTGAGATGCCAGTTCTTGGTCAGCTACCCTGAATTCTCACCTCTTCATCATCTCAAATCAAACTAATGTTCTTCCATGTTCCTAATTAGCTGCTTCACAATGCAGCAATCTAATAAAAATGCACACCCTAAAGAAAAAAGACATACAGGACACCACAAGGTTTGGATGAATAGAGGGTGAATATTGTGGATGGCAGCTGCAGGAGGGAAGAGGAGGGTGATCAAAGAGAGGGGCATTTATGTGTGGCAAGCCAACCATCTCTGGAGTGTCAGAGAGCTGATTCCAGAGGGAAGAGAGAGACCTAAATGGAAGCTGCAGGAAACTGAAAGGGGATGAGATAAGCGGCGCAGCCTAAAACCTAGTGTTTCGCAGACGGGCTTGGAGGGAGATGCAAAAATTGAAGGAACTGGGAAGGACAGTTTTATAAAATCAACAATAGCTCTGTGTTGCTGTAGGGTGGGGGGTGAGCTGGGGGTAAAGGAATCAGCAGTCATCACAGCTGTGGATAGCAAACCACTGGGAAGAAATGTAATTTTGGGCGAGTGGGAGCTCTTCACCAGAAGGATGCAGCTGCTTTGTTTCTCCTTGGCAGCCTTTGACAGACATGTCCTTTTATTCTTTGTTTAATTGCACATTTATACAGCCTTTATGGTTATTAACACTTTCAAAACCCAATTGAAATATTTGTGCCACCAACTCAAAAAAAATAAAAAATTTTCAGAAAATATTGCCAGAGAGATGATTGAGGTGAGAAAAGCCAACCACTTCAAAATCTTTTCATGTAGTCGAACATCAATTCCCATCAAAAGTAAACCAGAAAAAAATAATTGCCTTAATTAAAGGCAAGTAGAAACTCTAATTTTGGTAAAAATTTGTAAAAAAAAACAAAAAAAATGTTGGAACTCCTTAAGAATAAATAAAATATCTCCATTCAGAATAATTTTCTGTTAACAATATTAGCTATGGCATAAAATATACACTAATTGCTGATTATACATCAATTATTACCAAAATGCAAAAATCTTGGACCACCGATCTAAGAGGGTGCCAAGGGTCCTTCAGAAACAAAGATTTGACAGTGTTTTCATTCTAAAGCTAGACATCTTTTGATACAAAGTGGTCTAAACAACTGTTTTAAGACCTTTATGTCACATGTGTGATAAGCTGCTACAGCTCTACAAGTACGTACCTAGATTGGAGAAGAGAACAAAAAGCATTGCAACCTAAACTGATTGCTTGAGATGTCTAAGTATATTTTTCACTGTTCCTCCAAGGTATAAGGCTAAGTCGCATCACCGCTATGAGAACTCTGGAACTTATTGTGCAATTGTGTTTTTTAAAAAAGTGTGATTGTTGTGTGGAGAAATATTCCCAAGACATCTTCACTCAAGTCATCGGATTTAGCCATGTCAAACATGAAGAATATATGTTTAGATGTATATAATAACATTTCCAATTATAGCCTTTAATGAGTGTTTTTTTTCCACATTTCAAACATGTTAATGCCATTCAAGGTCTTCCAACCAGCTGCTGTTTTGATTAACGGTGACAGCTCTAGGTGCTTTATAAAGAACACAAGAAAACTGAATGTAAAGATTACATGTGTAGATTTAGAATATATTCTTCATATTAATTATATAATAAAAGCAATTAATTATTTAAAAGCTGAAAACTGAAAATTCAAGTTAATATTATGACAACAGCTGTTAGAGACATGGTTGTACTTTCAGATATCTATGGGTGCAACCATATGGAGCTCAGTGAAAGCTTCCTATTCTTCCAATAACTTTATTTCCTCCCTGCAGTAACTCTGCTGGAGCTGACAGGGGTCCTGCCACATTTGGTGCTGGGTCAGGATAGAGAATGGGAGATTAGGACTAGAGACAGGTGGCACAAAGGTTCCTGTTATTGAGCGAACAGATGGCTGATCTAACGTAAATCAGGGTGCTGACCTTTTCTCCCCACAGTACAGTCCACACACGCTAACGTTGTACACAAAAAAACTGACGCCGCACACATTGCTTACACACACATTCAGCTTCCAACCCAGTTTGTTTGCTTGAAAACCTGCATACACATTACACAGATGTTTCCCCATCATAGATGCAATTTCATAACCCATTCAGCATTTAGCATCAAGACCTTTTTTTCCCCCCACGCCATGGATTCTGATTCCAAGCGACTTGAATCACTCCCTACCCTTCCACACCTACACAAAAGCATGTGATTAACAACCCTGCATGGAGAGTTGTGTTGTGGTAAATGATCCCTGTGTGAAGGCACGCAAGCTGCAGAGAATACAGAGCTTCAGTCAGCATCGCCTGTTCCTTGCAGGCACATGCTGAATTACCTTGTCGGCGGGCAATTATTTGTCCTGTCCCGGCTTCGGAGTGGTGTAAATTACTTTAAGTGCACTTTGCCAGGGCCGCCATCACGATAATGATAATTGCAGCGGCACTGTGACACGCAAATATACCTTCAAAAACTCCGTACTGGCAGAGGAGGGGCAGCTGAGCAACAAATTCAAGACAGGCAGCTAAGATGTTCTCAGAAACAAAAAGGAGTGTAAGAGAGAGGTGTTGAATTTTAGTTTCTATCCTATTCTTTGTGTTTTCACCACCTTGATTTAAACAAAAAAAAAAAAAGTAAAGAAATAAATGCATGACAAAATATTGTTTTTCAATTAACAACTGTTAGGTTCTAGCCATGTCTTGTATCTTTTTCATGTCAACCTAAAGTTAGACATCTTGCAGTGAGTGTTCAGCCCCAGCAGGTGTCACTCATGGCTATTATGCTTATTCTTGGAACAGAAGGTAAAACCCCCCAAAATTTCTCACTTTTCATTCTTGTATACATGACAAGTTGTAAAAGCAGAGATCTCTGTAAATCTTTCCATTATTTTTTTTATTAAAAAAATGTCTAGTTCTAAATGGTGTTACTTTCTTTTAAATATCAATCCTTCTCAAAGCAGGAGATAAACCGATATAGTAGCACCAGCTCTGCACCTCTGAGGGAGCAGCTGTCTCTTTCCAGGCAGGTGTTGTCTGATTTTCTTAAGCTTCGTTAAAACTGAAATAAATGTTGAGACAAATAACCTTTGTGTTTTCTGTGAGGAAGAACACGGAAACACATTATTTTTTAGAAGAGAACCTATGTATAAATATGATGGCTACTCATGGATACTTACATATTATGCAGGACACACCAGCCGCAGTGTGGGTCCCCAGAGCTCAGACACTCTCCACAGGTCCCGTACTGCTCACAGGACTCGATAGGAACCTGGGTAACCTGTGAAGACAGCAAATTTTCATTGTAATGGGAGTTTTTGCTTTTCAGTGTAATGTACAAAAAAGATGTATTCATCTTTAATCATTATTGTGTGGAATAAAATACTGCCAGGCTTGATAAAAGTATAGAAAAAGTCTACAAATAATACATATTTTTCAATATTTTAAAAAGACTACATGTAATAAGAGTGGGAAACAGTTCTTGTTGTGTTTTCAACAAATCCCCAATGATATAATTACTGACAACCCAAGCAATTTCTGAAAATATTTGGAATTTAAGCACCTATATCGGCAAAAAAAAAAAAAATGCAAAGGCAGATTAAACTAATAACCCATGGGTTTCAGTTTGTTTTTTGTGGTACAGTTCTGATGCAGTCCAATTATTTTAGCCATACACAAAAGCAAAAAAAAAAAGGTAATTAATGGTTATCAATATTCTGGCACATAAAAATGTTATGCAGTGTGAAATGATATACTTTCTTGGATGAATGAGATGTCAACTGTTGTACATAACTTCAAAACATGGAAACAGCTGTAAGCAGCTGGGATCATTTGGCTGGAGAAGACAGTTTCTCTGCCATCAATGGGCGTCTGTCTGCCCCAGGGGCAACTGTCCACCTTGACAGAGTCTGTAGATATACGCCCACGCATGGACGGACGATGACAGATGCAGACACTTGATTAGAAGAAAGGAGCTAAAGCTCCTTTTTTCTTTTTTTTTTCCTCAAAAAGTGTAGCTTGGCTACATAGAAAACAAAGCGTCAACAGTAACAAATTTGAGGAGGGTCAGATGAAGGAAATATACTCCGTGTTCAACCATAAACTGCCACTCTAATACAAACAGAACTATCAGTCTGCAGTTAAAGAGCAATAACCTCTGTGCTTGCCCTATTACTGTGCACAAAAATAAAGTTGTGAGTTTCAGCACAGTATGTGAAACAACAGGAAAAAAAAAAAACATCAAGCACTCACAACCTCAGGTAGAAAAACAGTGTGAGTCAGCTGTGTGATCCACAGCCTATTTTCAGTGGCAACACACTGAGCTCTCATCTCCCAGTGAGTCCTTAGAAACATACAGTATACAGCAAAACTAGTGGATATATAAACTACTTTCATTGAAATGTGCAGCTGTTTCTTAGAAAAAGAAAGATATCATTAAATTACGTTTATCCTATTTAAAATAATACATTTGAAGTAGAGTAACAATATATTGTTATAAAATGGGGAAATTCAGGCATGTTCAAAGTTTTGAACAGTGGAATAAAAACGTTCTACTCAGATAAAAATCCATTGTTCATCTGATTATGTGCTAAATTGAAATGTAAAAACTTTAATCGTTACAATTGTACATAGCAAAAACTAAAAATACAATGTAAAAGAAAAAAAATAAACAGCTACTGTGTCTGGAAGGAAAGATCTGTGATTACAATCCTTTGTACACCTAAGGTGCAGTGGTTCATCAATGCTCTGAAACTTATTAATGTAAGGGGTGGGAGAGATTGCGCAACAGAAATGTTATTCTCGTAAGAGTCCTTCTATCCACCACTACCTGAACAAGGAGGAGGAAGCATCCAGGACAGAGCTGTTCCTCCAGATGAGCTTATTAAACCACTTCTTCTCAGTTATAAATAAGCTGCTGCACCAACAAACTACTCCACTGAGCAGGGTTCCTCAATTCAGCCTCTCAAGGTCCGGTGTCCTGTAAGATTTAGATGCATCTTCGCTTCTACAAATAAGCTGGTCATCAGCAGGAGTCTATAGGACTTGACTGCCTACTGAGGAGATAATTCAACCATATGATTCCAGTGTGTGGAAGCAGAGACACATGAGGATGACATTGAGGATGATACCACAAATGATGTACCAAGAAGCTATCTGATGACTAGAGGGTCAGCTTCACCATGAGTTTTTAGAGAAATCAGACCAAAGTGTACCCTAACAGCTCAAAACATCCTCTTCTTCACACCTGTGTTGTTGGAAAAATGCAAAAGTTGCAGCCAACAGCGAAAACAACAACAACAAAACTATTCGGAAAACCCTAATATTCTCCAGCCTATATCAAAAGCTAAAACATTTTTTTTTTCTTCCTTTGGCAGTCAACATGGCTTTCTTCGGAGAGCCGTGCATCCTTAAATGTTTATGTTACATGCATGGCATTAAGCACTGCCTCTATGACCCTGACTTAATGTGACAGGCAATTCACCAGTTCGCAAACAAGTAGAGAGGCAGCACCGATGCATGTGCTGTTACACAACTGTTAGTTAGACTGAGTACGTACATACAAGAAACAATGCGCTGCAGAGCTGAGCAACCAAAAATAATAACACATTAACTGTGTCCGTCATCCATGTGAAATTTCAAACACCCTAAAAAACAGAGCTTTCAAAAAAGAGCTTTCAAAAATGGACATTGCACTGAAATTATAATGCAACCATTTGTGGCATTTACTTAATCATATTTTGTTACTTTATCCCAATTGTTTCATGTTAGCAGGGTAGGACATACAACTATTGTGTTAAAGTAACTAAATATGATTAAGTGCAACAGCTGCTGCATTTTTTTTTTCTGTGTGTTTAAATGCTGGTTTCAGAAAATTTCCAGGACCTTTAATGTATTTTTTTTTAATTCACACACTTTCAAGGAATCTTGTATATAAGAGTCAAGTTTCAAGCTGGCACTTTGGTAAATATTAGCTGATTTTAAGCCTTACTTATTTAGATGGGACAGGCTTTTTTTTATTTTAAACTGGGCAACCTGACAATTACCTTATTAACCACAAAAATCCCCAAAACCTCAGAGCTGAACTGGGATAACATATACTGAGAGAGGTGTTTGTATTTAATCCTCCTTATCCTGACTATTAACTGTAGAACGCTATGAATCAAACATTGTTCTATGTTGACTACATTTAGAGATCATGCAAGAAGGAAGTTTGCTTTTAGAATAATAAAAAAAAAAGATTTCTTTTCACTGCAAGTGTCAGTCTGGTTCAACAGCAAAGGTCTGTAGATGCTTGAGCATGCGTTGCGTGCATGCAAGTCCTTTAACTGTACTTACTATTGTACCTCCCCATGTCACCACTGGAGNATATATATATATATATATATATATATATATATATATATATATATATATATAAAACATTCCCAATAAATGCACAGTAGATTAACAGATGAAGGGAACCTGAGTATAATGATATAAATAATAACAGATGTTGACAGCATGTGCGTTGTGTAGCTCCAGTCCTCAGATCAACACCTATTAGGAAGCTCTTCTGTACAATGTGGGAATAAGAATGAAGGGTGCATATAACACCCTTTAGGAGTTCTCCAAGGCTGTATGCTGTGCATACTGGGTGATATCAATTACCGTGGCAAAAGCCTGACTTCAAGTCCGACAAATATCCATTTTGAGATTGTCAAACCACAGAGATGTTTGTTATCAATCACCCCGCCAGGTTTGAATGATCAAAAACACTGATAAAAGTGTAAAAATTAGGTCTGAAAAGTAATGAGATACTGAACTTTTCAATAGCTGTGATCCTTTTTACGCATTTAGAAGAATTCAAATTATGACATTTATTATGTCTTTAAAAGAAGACAGATTAATTTCCTTTGCATGGTCTTTAACATACCAAGCAATAAATAACAGTGAGTTGTCTAATATTAAGTGTCAAAGACCAACACTGTGAGAAAATTATTCCTATTTATTAACTTTTAGAGTTTTTTCTGGATCATGATAATGATTAGGTAAAGGGTCTGAGACCAAATACAAATATTATGACTATTAGATTAGAATTATTTAGTGTTATATATTGTTATTAGTATTATATATTTGTATTATTGTATTAAGTCATTCTAAATTGACAAAAGAAGAAACATTCCCAGAGGTGTGAATACTTCTGCCAGGTATTGTATGTAATGTAAAAACAGCAGAGAATGTTTTTTTTTTTTTTTTTTTACACACAACCTGTTAAAAAGTCTCTAAAAGAATTTGATGACTGTTAGACCTGTCAGCTGAAACAAAAACCCCAGGAACTATAAGAGACCCAGTAAATATGGCATCTGGAATCATCCAAAAACTTCGACATCAGCCATCCACCTGTCCGCCTGCTTCCAAACCCTTGAGGCAACAGAGATGCAGTCCCAGGGGACAAAATAACCATTGACACCATGGGGATTCAACAGTCCATGTGCACAGACTCCTGTTATATTAACCCCCTGTCATTTCAACAAACTCCATTTGTGTGCGTGTCTTCCCTTGCTTCGGGACAAACAGGTGGCACGCTGTAATGAGCTGCAGACGGGGGTCACATCAGCAGCAGAAGCCGCAACTGATGACAAACAAGCCCACCAAGAGCGAGACTCGAGTGAGTGAGGGAAACTGCAGCTCTGCATGCGTGGGCGTTCACAGCTCAAAGTCTCTGTTCTTAACCCAAAGAGAGAGAGCTCAGTCTTGTTTCAGCTTTAAAAACAGCATCTGTGGAGTTTCATTACCAACACCGTGAGGAAAGTCATCAGAAAGTCATCAGATCTGTTCCGAAAGCATGAGTAAGATCCCTGAAACTTTACGGTAGAACTTTCACAGAGACCCAAGTCGGAGGAAAGGGTTACAGTGGGAAGACAGCTGTCAGGGAGTGGGGTGGGGGGTTGGAGTCTTCATGGCCCTTATGGAGCTGTATGTAAACACAGACAGAGTAATCTAAGCTGGTACAGGGCAAACAAAAAGGAAAAGGGAACCACATGGAGGAGGAAGAAGGCAGTAAAGAGGTGAATCCTGAAATAGGCAAAGCGTTATGGAAAAGAAAAAAAAAAGGTGCGATAAATGTATTGTGTTTGTGTTTCCTTAACTTTTTTGATGTTTAGATTTAGCCTGGGTCAGAGGTGGAGATGAGGGGCACGGTTTGAGGAAGGGGATCGCAGCAGCTGTTGCCCAGCACACGCTACAGTCACTCATCACAGCAGGCCTGCACAATAAAGGCCCTTCTCCCACTGCGTGTGC